AATATATATACACTCTGTAAATCTTTAAACAAAAGTTTACATTAGAGCTCACATGAGAGCTGTCTTCAATTTGTAACTTAAAATTCTTTAAAATATGTGAATCACAATCGAGACACAAAATTAAAACGGTATATTTTTTGAAAGGACTCGTTTAGAAGCAAAAACTTTGTAAAGCCGATCTAATGGAGTCATTTATTTGGTCTTTTTCTCGCATCTAGGTTCTGTGCAAAGCTAAGTATCTTACTTGCAAACTTAAGTTCTCTATTATGCTCATAGACAACATTTATGATCGAGATTTCCATCTAACATTAGTGGACGCTTCAACGATTAAATGAATTATGTGAACGTTTGAACATCAATTTGGTTGTTAGTTAACGTTCTCAACATCCTCTTCTTCTAAAGTTAGACCAATACCTAAATTACCAATGTTCATGATTCATCGTTATTCCATTGTTTTAAACATGGAAGCGTTTTTCTTCAATATTTCCATAAGCAGACATTATCCTAACTTTTAAAAGTATACGCAACGCCTCTGAGTTCATTTGCTTTTTGATCACTTTAAGCGTTTTATCTACTAGTGCTTTTCATCCACATTAACCAAACTTTTAGACAGTCTTCCAAAAACCGGTCTAGACAAAATCTTCGTTAATGTGAGCGAAGTCACTGGCAAAAGCTAGTTCATCATTAACAATAATAGATCCAGTAGATATTTGACTGCTACCCCACCTACCTACTATATTAATGCCCAAAAAAAGCTAAGATTCACATGACCAAAACGATCATCGTTTTGTGAGGTCAGGACAGGACATACAAAAAACATGAGTCAAGTTCTTCACTGATGTATAGTTAAAACGTGTTCAAGATAATTACTTTATTTTATTAGAGTTACGTGCACTAGGTGCAGAGAAACCGTTGGGTTTCCCTGCTGTGCACTACAGTAGCAGCCAAAAGAATTCGCTTTTCCCCTTATTCTTCTACAGCTTTATCAGCCGGCATCGCCTATTAGATAGGCCTCGTGAGTTTGAGGAGCTGCTGCATCCAGCAGAGGGCCGAGTTAAGTAGCGCCAAACGCGGTCACCGTGACAATCGAGAAGAAGTAAAATAAACTCGCACTTTGCCCTCTGAGCACTAAACTTAAGGTGTGGAATGCAGTGGCCTCGTGACGTTGGCTCATGGTCTATATGACACGAGTACTTATCGAAGCAACCGTGTCCGCCTAGTACCTACGTTAGGCGATAAAAAACGCTCATATGTCCTATTTCGTAAATAAATTTATTTTTATTTATTTATAAGGCCACCAACGATGGACTAGAACTAAGCCTCTCGCTAATTACATGGATAGCAATGACATATATGAATTAACAAAAACATTGCCAAAAGTAAATTAAATTTCGGTTTGGCCTATGCATACAATCATTACGACAGATTAAAATAAAAACTGACACTCTGGCGTCGCATTATGGGGCGAGAATATCATGTTGTACGACGTGGTGGTCCCAGGAGCTGGCGGACCTCCGTGCGGCCTGTACATGTGCCCGGAGGTCCTACACGCGCAGTCGGCGGCGTCACCGTGGAGACGGTGAGGAGGACCGGCTTCATGAGGAGTACCGACGGGCACGGAAAACTCTGAAGCTGGCCATTAGCCGCGCCAAAGAAGAAAAGAGACAGGAGATGCTGGAGGGTCTTAATCGTGACCCCTGGGGTCGCCCTTACCGCGCGGTGCGACAAAAGCTCCGCGCGTCGGGCCCCCCCCTTACGGAGACTCTCCAGCCCAGCATCCTGCGAGAAGTGGTTGAGGGCCTTTTCCCACAACGGGCGGAACACACTCCCCCGTCGATGGCCTCCCTGGCCGGAGACGACGGAGAGCACGGGGAGGATAATGTTCCACCCGTCCGGGATTCGGAGGTAGGGGCGGCTGTTCTACGGATCCGTTCCAAGAACACCGCCCCTGGGCCAGACGGGGTACCGGCCCGAGTGCTGGCCCTGGCCCTCAACCACATGGCAGACCGCCTCGGGGAGGTGTTCGACGCTAGCTTGGCGTCGGGACGCTTCCCTGAGTGCTGGAAAAGCGTGAAGCTGGTCCTATTGAGGAAGCCGGGACGGCCTGCCGATTCGGTCGCGGCCTATAGGCCCATCGTGCTGCTGGACGAGGCGGGCAAATTGTTTGAGAGGGTTCTTTCTGCCCGCATCGTCCGGCACCTCTGCGAGGTGGGCCCCGATCTGTCGGACGCCCAATTTGGTTTTCGGGCGGGGCGTTCGACAGTCGACGCCGTGTTGCGCCTGAGGGCCGTGACCGAAGAGGCCGTGAGCTGTGGCGGCGTGCTGTTGGCGGTGTCATTAGACATCGCCAACGCATTCAATAGTCTGCCATTCAGCTGCATCAGGGAAGCACTCCACTATCATGGGGTGCCAAAGTACCTGAGGCGGCTAGTGGCAGACTATTTAGAGGAGCGTACCGTCGTGTACGAGGACCGAGAAGGTAATCTGAGGTGTCGGCCCATGTCGTGCGGTGTTCCACAGGGGTCTGTTCTTGGACCCCTCTTGTGGAACATAGGGTACGACTGGGCCCTTCGCGCCGATTTCCCCCCCGGGCTGGGTGTAATCTGTTACGCAGACGATACCCTGGTGACAGCCCGGGGGGCAAACTTCCAAGAGGCGGCGCGCCTGGCCACAGGGGGAGTCTCCCTGGTGGTCGGGCGCATTGAGGCGCTGGGCTTACGGGTGGCCCTAGATAAGACGGAGGCCCTGTTATTTCATGGGCCCCGTCGTGGTCCACCCCCTGGCGCCTCAATCGTGGTCAACTCGGTCCTCGTACCGGTTCGGGCCCAGATGAAATATCTGGGCCTGATCCTCGACGGGAGGTGGCTCTTCGACGAGCACTTCCGACAGCTTGCTCCAAAGCTGGTCGGCGCTGCGTCTGCCCTAGGGCGACTCTTGCCCAATATGGGTGGACCCAGCGTCGCGACAAGACGGCTGTACACGGGGGTTGTCCGGTCAATGGCACTGTACGGTGCACCGGTGTGGGCGGCGGCTCTGACCGCCCAGAATAGGGTACGCCTCTGGCGCCCTCAGAGGGTAATGGCGGTCAGAGCCATACGCGGTTACCGCACCGTTTCTACGGAGGTGGCATGCGCGTTGGCCGGAACTCCCCCGTGGGATTTGGAGGCGGAAGTGCTCGCCGAAGTTTATCGGCGAGTGGCTGACTCCCGGGCGGAGAGCGGATTTCGCCCTCCGCCCGAGGATGTGCGCGAGTGGCGCGAAGCCGCTCGCCGAGCCACGATGGCTCGTTGGTCGTTCCGGCTGGAGACTCCACGCGCTGGCTTCGCCGCCGTGGAGGCTCTCCAGCCGGTCATCGCCGAGTGGGCAGGGCGGCAGCACGGGACCCTTTCCTTCCGGCTGACGCAGGTGCTTTCCGGACACGGTTGCTTCGGAAAGTACCTGCACCCGGTCGCTAGGAGGGAACTGAGTCCCGCCTGCCACCACTGCGACTGCAGTGAGGACTCGGCCCAGCACACGCTGGCGGTCTGCCCCGCATGGGCGGCGCAGCGCCGGGCCCTCACTGCAGTCATCGGAGTGGATCTCTCGCTACCGGCCGTAGTACGCTCCATGGCCGGTAGCGACAGTTGTTTTACCGCGGTCGCAACCTTCTGCGAGGTAGTAATCTCGCGGAAGGAGGCGGCGGAGAGGGCCCGGGAGGACGACCTCCACTCGGACCCGATCCGCCGCCGGCGAACCGGGCGGCGGAGGCCCGCCTATCACAGCCTCATGCCGCCCTGAGTGTGGCCGCGGGTGGACGGGGTGGGTTTCCCCTCCACCCGCATTAGTTTGGCCAGCCGCGAGGGGGCGGCGTCCGCGTGTGCCGGACGTCGCCTAAAGAGAGGAAAATATATTGAGACGGAGCCCGCACCAGGAGCGGGCTGGCGCTAGGAGGGGTCCGGATGTCTTAACAACAGCTGTTCCCGGATCCCTCCTGTTACAGGCGCAGAGTGGCACACCGTGTGGTTTTAGTCGGTCCGAGTCCGACACACCACCCCGCCGCAAACCCCGGAGGGGTGACGGTCCGAGGGGATTTCCACACGTTAAAAAAAAAAAAAAAAAAAAAAAAAAATGGTCTATATGACACGAGTACTTATCGAAGCAACCGTGTCCGCCTAGTACCTACGTTAGGCGATAAAAAACGCTCATATGTCCTATTTCGTAAATAAATTTATTTTTATTTATTTATAAGGCCACCAACGATGGACTAGAACTAAGCCTCTCGCTAATTACATGGATAGCAATGACATATATGAATTAACAAAAACATTGCCAAAAGTAAATTAAATTTCGGTTTGGCCTATGCATACAATCATTACGACAGATTAAATGAAAAACTGACACTCTGGCGTCGCATTATGGGGCGAGAATATCATGTTGTACGACGGAACTCGAACAACAGCAGCATGCTCGAGACGAATCCCTTATTTCCGGTGCATTGACTTTATTGATAGTGATTATGTATAAAAGAGCAGTCGCCAAAACGTATAATATATTAAACTATTATATTATTAACTGCTTATTGCTAGATTTTTTTTTTGTGTGCTATACAAGATGGTATTCCTTACCTTTCCAACTACCTAATAACTTGTTACGTCATATTTTGCGTGGCGTTTAGGATTAAACTTAACTTGAGAATGTAGATCATGTTTTAATCTTATTCAATTCAATTTTAATGAAACCTGGTAAAAATAATCCTGCATAACTACCTTCTTGCTGCAGAATATAGAAGAAAGAAAAAAAAGTTAAACATGATGTACTCCATATTATTATGAGACGGAATCCTCACTTCGCGAGTCTGAGTTACACTTGGCTTGTTATTTATAATTAATGTTTTGTAAGTGATAAAACCATATAGCAATTATTTACCTGTTCGTAGCCAGAGGAGTAGCAGTCGTTCCGCGGCTTATAAATAGTTCTGCAATAGAACTAACCACCAGTATTGACTTAGAGAAGACTTAACAATGAACATTGTAAGTAGATTTTTATAGTTTTTTAATCATTTGACTAACATTTTCATTTATTATTTTATATACAGTTTAATTTATATCAACAATATTATAAGTATTACAATTTTTTATGAATAAATCACTCAATCAGCAGTATCGGTTTGAATCTCCCATCGAACTACATTTCTTTGTGGATTACATGAAATATAAAAATAAGTAAATGAAAAAAAAAAAATTGCAGACTAAAAATAAAAAAGGCGTTGGTAACATTATGAAAATGATTTACATCTTACTGTCATTAGATTCTTATCTAAAACTTATTATTAAAGCTAATATAAAACTAGTAAATGACTATTCTAAAATGTGCAAGAGTGAATAGAAAAAATTAAAATCAAACTATTACATATTCTTCTGCAATCGGCCTGTGTAAACTGTGTTTCGAGCAGTCTAGTCTAGCAGAATATAATCCTAGTTCGAAAATTGATTTTATTTTTTACTTGTATATAGCTCCTGATATAATTATAGTTTATAAATGTCTTTACATACCTACTTAAAACTAAACAGTGTTCAATTCTATTTAATATTTGCTTGGTTGGTTGCTAGATTGGATGGCGTAGTGGTTTGTGTAACGGACTGCTATTCCAAAGGTCGCGGGTTCGATTCCCGCTCAAGTCAAACATTTGTGTGCATGAACATTTGATGTTTGATTTGGTCTGGGTGTTTCTATGTATAATATGTATGTATTTACAAAAAAAAAAAAGTATATATGTATTTATATCAGTTGTCTAGTACCCATAGTACAAGCTCTGCTTAGTTTGGGACTAGATGGCGTTGTGTCTATGTGGTAGAATATATTATTATTATTATTATATTATTATTGTTATATTTGATTGTGCAGTTGCTGTGTGTTACGTTGCTGCTATGTGTATGTGCGTCATACGTGTCACTATCTCCACTGGAGGTGACAAAAACTGTTAAAGTACAGTCTGATCATCTGCCCAGTATTTCTGATGAAAGTCTGGTACCATCCGAATCTAACAGGTTCAAAAGAACACACCATCACAAAGGGCATGGTGGTAGCTATGGCGGAGGACATGGCGGGGGTCACAAAGGTGGATATAGACACGGCGGAGGTTATGGACACAGCGGAGGTTATGGACAAGGCGGCGGACTAGGTTATGGAGGCGGCGGCGGGTATGGTTATGGAGGCGGTGGCGGCGGCGGTGGCGGCGGCGGTGGCGGCGGCGGTGGTGGCGGCGGCGGCGCTTGGGGACGCTAAGCCGTATACAATCTGAAACCGGTATTGACATGTGATGTGTGTAATGTTTTCTAATTAGACCAATAAAGCAATTCCTTTAGTAATTATGGCTATTTTTTATTTTATTTTTGTAACCTTAACTTAGAAAGAGATTTACATGTTGTATGTGTCACTTCTATTTTCATCTATAAAAAATTAGACATTGGCAAAATTGAGGCATGAATTGAAAAGAAATTGAGTTAAGTGTCCACAGTTTTTGGATAGCAGTACCTCAGTGACACTTACAGTGCATAATGGCTCCAGTAGATAACTACTCAATAATGAGTCGTTGACTACTAAAGATCAGTGTATTATATTTAGTAATACATACTTAGTCAGGGGCGCCCTTTGGTGATGACGAGCAGGGCAACCAACCAGGACCTCGCTCATGTAAGGCATGATTGAACTTTGCGCCTTGAGCCACTTGTTACTCGCGGTCAATTTGGCGTGTTCTGGGATTCTCCGTGCTTCATTCCGCCTGTCATTTTGACTGTGGTCGGATTATGCAAAAACATGAGCCACATAACATAAACTGTTCTAGCAGCACTATGTGTTGCGTTGCATTTTTTGTTCTAAGTATCATTATTAAAACTAATTCCACAAAAAGAAAGACCTTGCAAAGACCGGCTAAGCCCGCCACTGCAGTTAGTCTTAAAAATTTATCAATCAATCATCAACTTAGAAATTGTCAAAACCACCACTCTCGAATTGAACATCACCGATAAACTTCTTTAGCGTAGTGCGACCAAGGACGCCATAGGTCAACAAAAACGAACAGTAATGATAAAGCGAGAGACGCAAGTGATGTAAGTTTATACACATACTTAGTTTCAAAACATAAGCATAAGTACTTATATCAGTTGTTTTAAAAGGTACGCATCTAGGTTTTTTTTTAATTATATAATTAACAAACCTACATAGGGCATGGGTTGACCTTTGTTGAGACTTTGTAATATTTTGTTTAACTTCAATGGACGCAGAGGTTGTTAACCTCTTTCGATCATTGCAAATCTTTCGATTATTAATTACCTACTTGCTTGCTTTTTATTCGTTACCAGATTGTGATTTTACACTTAACAGATTTGCGTTTGCATTTCGTGATACAAGTATGGATCCCAAATTATATTATATTAATTATATTATTATATATATATATTATGGTAGATATTATGGTGTAGTGGCTTAAGCGGTGGCCACGCCGCTTCCTACTACGCTGAGTATTGTGGGATCGATCCCCACAAGGGACGATACTTTGTGTGATCCACAAATTGTTGTTCTGAGTCTGGGTGTTCTTTGTGTCCGTTTCGTGTTATGTATGATGTATGAACATATGTTTGTAAAGTCCCCCGTGATACAGGATATATTCCTAATGCGGTAGTTGTCTTTTTAAAAAAATAATTCAATTCCGGCACAGTCTGTAGTACAAAACGAAATCTTTTACTGGATTATGACCGACTGGTAAACAATGTTTTTGCTTCCATAATAGATCCGGCTCCGGCGGATCCGGATCCGGATTCCGCCTGTAGCGGCCAAAGTACCCTCTAGGCAGGGTCAACCTGGACAGGGTAAACGGGCAAGACGAGCGACACGTGGAGGGAAACCTTCGAGTGAAACAAAGCCCGTCAAAAGAACTCGCCCGGACGAGTCTCGCACTCCCCAGGGCAGTGGCAAGCGATTCAAACCGCTGCCAAAGACCGGCTCCACGAGTTACTCCGACGCACTAAAGGCGAATGACCTTTGCGTCGCGGTCATGCTGGAGCCTTACCACGACCTCACCAAGGCACAGGCAGAGGACATCGAGGGCCAGCTGCAGGGCGTGCTAGATGAGGAGATCTTCTCGCCCGGCACGTCAAGCGCACCCGTCGCTGCGCCACAGTTTAGGGGCAAGGCCTTCTACAGTGAGGGCGCCCTTAAGATGTGGTGCAATGACGAATATGCCCTACAGTGGCTTCGCCGATCCCTGGTAAGGATCCCATCACCACGTGAAGGCACCAAACTGGTCGTCAGGAGGCAGTCTGAGATCCCGAGAAGGATCAAGGCTGGACTCCTGGTACCACAAATCGGACCAGATGATACACTGGTCCGTATACAAACGAGGCTAAGGTATCAGAATAGCCAGTACAATGTGGCCAACTGGGCCCTCTACCATGCCGAGGCGCAGGAGGAAAAGAAATGTCTCTTCCTAGTGCTCGGCATCCCAGAAGAGGACGTCGTGAAGCTCAAGGCTAGCGAGCGTAGAGTATACTACAAACTGGGTAACCTCTACGTTCGCTTCCTCGATGAACGTCCCGCCCCACCAACTAACCCAGACGAGGAGCCAGAATCGGCCCCACAACACCGTAAGGACGGCAATGGAGGGGATCCTCTGATGCCCGTTGAGGAGACAGCCTGCCGGGGTCCACCTCCTGAGGAGTTGAAGGACCTACCGGTGGGCGAGAGTGACCTCGACGACATAGAGGACATGCTGAACAGCGATGATGGCGCTGTCTGCACCCCCCCATAACACCCTTATAGCCATCCAAACCAACCTCCAGCACAGCCATACAGCAACGGCTAACCTACGCAGAGAGCTGGAGGTAAAAACCAACACCGTAGCCCTAATCCAGGAGCCGTGGATTAGGAAGGGCAGGATCTGCGGTCTAAACAATATTGGAGGTAAGATACTTCTCAACACTACCATTGATAACCCGCGCACTTGTATTTATACACCAAAACATGCGTGTACTACCTTAATGACCGAGTTCTGTTCCAGAGACCTTACCTCTATTAGGTTAAAGGAACCCTCATCAAACCTTCCTGACGTGGTGATAGCATCAGCCTACTTGCCGGGCGATGCTGACATCCCCACTCCGGAGCTGGCTGCGCTGGCACACCACTGCGAGCGTGAGGGTCTGGAGCTGATCATCTCTGCCGACACCAACGCGCACCATGCGCTGTGGGGCAGCAGGAGCAACAACCGGAGAGGTGAGGAATTTGTATCGTTCCTATTATCAACTAACCTTAACATTATCAACGTGGGCTCGGAGCCGACATTTGTCACATCCAGGGCCCAAACTATAATTGATCTTACTTTAGCAAGTGAGCACGCATCGCAACACATATCGAACTGGCATGTTTCGAACGAAGCATCGTGCTCAGACCATCGCTGGATCAAATTTAACTTTGAAATGAAACTTAAACTACCCGATCCCCGACGGAATCCCCGCACGATGGACCGGAAGCGGTATGAACATCTTACTGCGGAGAATCTGCGAAGCATCAACCCAACATATGCTACGGGGACTGTTAAGGACATTGACAGTCATGTTGTCAACCTTACACAGACACTGATCGATAGCTTTGAACAAACATGCCCACTTTCCACACCCAGAACTGGACCACAGAACAAACACCAATGGTGGGGTCCGGAACTGGAAAGACTACGTCGTAAAGTGAGAAAGTTGTTCAATAAAGCAAAAAACTCGCGATTAGACCAACATTGGGATGCCTACACGCAGGCCCGACAACAATATAAGAAGAGAATCAGAACCAGGAAAACTGAGTGCTGGAGAAACTTCTGTACTAACATAGAAAACAACAACCAGGCTAATAGAGTCAAAAGCATACTGTGTAGTAGAGGCGATCACAATCTTGTCTCACTGAAGAAGCCTGATGGTGAGTATACCAAAACAGACTCGGAAGCCTCAGAGCTGTTATTAAAAACACACTTCCCTGGATGTCGCATTTCAGATGTGATGGAAAAATGGGAAGACAGATGGGAAAAACCACCAGATGATACAGACTGGGATACGGCCCGCAAAGTTGTCAATCATGACAAACTAAGATGGGCAATTAACAGCTTCCTACCATTCAAGGCGCCAGGACTAGATGGTGTCTTCCCAGGCCTACTGAGATGGTGTGATATGACACTACTGGACCATCTTGTAAAAATTTATAGGGGCTGCCTGGCGCATCAGTACATCCCCTTGAAATGGAGAGAAGTCAAAGTAGTCTTCATCCCCAAACCTGGTAAAGGTGACTACACACAACCCAAATCACACCGACCTATTAGTCTCACATCTTTTCTACTAAAGGTTCTCGAGAGGCTAATAGATAGGGAAATCAGGGAAACTGCGTTAGTCAGTCACCCTCTACACCTCAATCAACACGCATACTCGATGGGTAAATCAACAGAATCTGCCCTACATCGAGTTGTTTCATATATAGAAGACAATCTAAATCACAAAAGGTCAACACTGGCTACCTTTATCGATATCGAGGGAGCCTTTGACAAGACCAACTTCACCAGCATTAGCCAAGCTCTATCTAGGCATGGTGTTGATTCCACAATCTCAGGGTGGATCGATAGCATGCTAAGATATAGAGCTATTCAATTCACTGTGAGCGAAGTGACTAGAGGAGTGGTGGCTAGAGGTTGCCCCCAGGGCGGTGTACTCTCCCCTCTTCTATGGAACATTGTTGTGGATGAGCTCATCGCACAACTTAATGACCAAAGATTCCTCACAATAGGCTATGCAGACGATCTTACTATTCTTATCAGCGGTCCTTTTGAGAGCATTACATGCGATCAAATGAGACTTGCACTGAAGATCGTGGAACAATGGTGCGTAGCACACAACCTGACAGTGAACCCATCCAAAACAGAGATGATCATGTTCACAAACAAACGCAGCCTAGGTAATCTCAGACTTCCTAAGCTATTTGGAACACAACTTACTCTTACCAAAGAGGTCAAATACCTAGGAGTAATACTGGACAGTAAACTCCTGTGGAATATGCACCTCGATGAAAAACTGAATAAAGCCTGCATTATTTTCTGCCAATGCAAGCGGCTACTCGGCAAAAGCTGGGGACTATCACCCAAAATCACTTTATGGCTATACAGGACAGTCATAAGACCAATAATCACTTACGGTGCTGTTGTCTGGTGGCAGAGAACAGAGCTTAGCACCGTCATAAACAAACTGCAGCAATTCCAGCGA